CATGGGGGGGGACTTTCCCATTCGTGACTGTATCGGGAAAAAAATATGCTCGGCGGTGGCAGTCTGTCCAAGGTGGCGGTCGGCGACTGTGCGGAGGGACGATATGACTTTTCCGGCGGAGGAACATTCGAAGAAGATATCTGGCAGTGTCTCGACGACGGCAGCGGGACATCAAGGGCAGATCCCCCGATCGTCAAAGTATTGGAAGCGTGACCCTGAAGGTAGGGTTAGCATGTAAAGTCTGAAAATGATATCTCGCTGACGGCTCGGCTGGTCCCTCAGAAATGAGTGCTTAAGGCCGGGTAGAGGAGGAGGAGGAAGGGTGGGGTCGCGGGTCGAGCGGAGGTGGTGGGTTAGTGGTTGTGCTGAGTAGAGGAGGCGGCGGATGTCGGCGATGCTGGGGATGCCGTCTTGTAGCAATCCGATCCTAGCCCCTAGCCCACCCCCTCTGTGAAGCGGCCCAGCGAGCCACCCGTCCCTGACATGCACCTCCACGAGGTCTTGTAAGCGGAAGACTCCGGTGTCTGCGGGGGTGCGGGCGATGCGATGGTTCGGCGAGGCGTGGTAAACAGTAGCCGAGACGGAGGAGGGCGGGATGAAGGAGATAACTTGGATGACGAGATGAGAGATGGAATAGTGGTAGTCCGAAATCATGAACCAGTCTCATGGAGAGGCAGACGAGGCGTGTGGGGCTCGAAGGGCGGCCCACCAGGGAGGTTTCATGGCCTTGATAAGCTCTGGGAGGATGCTGGTTGCGTCTGCGTGGAATTCCTCCGGGAGTTGAGAGCAAAAGTCTTCTGTAGAGATAGGGCCTACCTGAGAATTGGTGATTCGGATGATGTGTCCGATGCGAAATTGCACAGTAAGGAGGAAGTGCTCGTGTTGGCGAGTGCCAAAAGGCCGGTTGTCAGGTTTGAGGAAGGAGCGGTTGAAGGCGAGAGGTTCGGTGAGGATGCACTGCATGCGTAAGGGTGGGCCATGGATGACCAGGGGGAGAGAGAGGAGGGCTTTTAGTTCGTCTAGTGCCCGAGAGGGAATGAAAGTGGGGAGATAGTCACGTTCGAGGATGGCTTTATGGGAGAGCAAACCATGTAGCCCGAAGGGGAACGGGGTCAGGGTACGGTTGGCCCGAATCTGCGCAGGGCGCGTTGAATAGCAAGAGCTTTGACTTGTGTAGACGGGGCGATCGCCCCGACCCTGCCGTCTTGGGGGGAGTTGTACACGAGGGCTTTGGAAATGAGGCATTGTGCGAGTCCATCTTGTTTGTGTTTCAAGGACGAAAGGAAGTTCCCAAGTGACACGTCTAGGCGTTTGATTGTGTCTGGTGGGGCGAGTTGAAAGCGACTGAGAAAGGAGATGACAGAGTTTAGGAAGATTGAGGCAAGGCATTTGCGGCACGTGATAGTTGCGTGTAAAGCTGCCAGGAACTTGGCGGTACTTTGTATGCGGGCAAGTGCCTTATTCCAAGTGGTGGAACCTGGGTGTAGGTGTTCGACGTAAATTCCGAAGATGCGTTCTGCCCCATTGGGAGCTCGGATGGGTATGCTCCCTGCGTGTAAGAGATCAGAAGGGGGGGTATAGAATGGGATTATGGAGCACTTGTTCAAGTTGGGAACCTCTCCGGAGACTGATCCAAAGACGCCGAGCAGCACTACAGCAAGCCCGAGCTCTGTATCCGAGGTGAGGAAGAGAGTGACGTCGTCTGCGTAGCACGCCAGAAGCCGGCGCTGTGCGGGGGACAAGGCAAAGCCGGGGAGGAAGAGGGACATGTAACAGTGAAAGATCTCCATGCCGCAAACGAAGAGCAAGGGAGCCAGTGGGCAGCCCTGACGGACACCCGTGCGGACGGGGAAGGTGGGGCCGAACATATTGTTGACCGAGATACGTGTCTACGTGTCAGAGTGCATTAGTCGGACCCAGTGGATGAAGGATGCGGGGAGGCCCAGGACGGATAGGGCTTGGAGGAGGAAAGGACTATCGACGAGGTGGCTTTGCGGAAGACTACCGTGAGAGCGAAAAGGGGGGACGAGGAGAAGGCCGCCCAGTCCATGATGTCAAGGGTGTCATTAATCGTGTCACCGATTTTCCTATGTTTGATGAAAACGGTTTGTGATGGATGAATGAGCTGGGGGAGGACGAGTTGAAGGCGGTTAGCAAGGCACAGCGGAAGCACCTTGTAGTCAGCGTTTATAAGAGTGATGGGGCGAAGATTTTCCACTAGCGAAGAGTCCCCTCCTTTTGGGGATAATGACCGTTCGTCCGGTCAGCATGGACGGAAGGAGGCAAGAGAATGGCTGTGATGGTGAGATAAGGGAGCGGAAGGCTGGTGCAAAACGCGGGGAGAATTGTCACAAACGCTCCCCGGGGAGACCGTCTGGGCCAGGGGTTTTTCCTCGTGAAAGAGAGAGGATTGCTTTCCCGATCTCGGCTAGGGAGAGTGGGGCACTGAGGCGGAGGAATAAGGGGTTTGGGATGGATGAGGGGGGGATATGTTGCCAATGGTCAATGGTGCCATCGACAATGGTGCGCTCCAGATGCGCGATCGTGCCATCGAAACGCCGTGTTTCTTGGTTGGAGAATCTTTTGAAGCTGAGGGAGAATCTTTGAAGCGAAGATCCGCTGGTATTGGCAAGGCGATGGGGTGGGTTTCTCCGCCAAGGAGCCCTGCTGGCCTTCCGATTCCTCCCCCCCTCGAAAACAGGGTTACCATTGATATTAAAAAAAAAAACCTTCTGAACCTAACCCGCCAAAAGCGCACCGTCGCTTGAAGTTATGTGTGCTATTGGGTACGGCATAACAACTTCGCATTAATCCTTCAGCGAAGAATTCAAGAAAGTTTATAAAGCGAGGGTGGATTTTATTGCTGGCTCGTGGGAAGATTCTAGACGAACTTCATCGCACGTGCATGTGGGGGACTTCACACCCAACCCAAACCAAACATCTGGATTACGTGGCGCGAGATGACTTGGCAAAACAAGCTCTGAGCTTCTAGCTCTGTGAGCAGCACATCATCTTGAGGGTCTCGGATCCAGAGCGGTTGAAAGGTCTGTGTAGCACATGGCGTTTGCCATCGCTGACAATTGAATGAACTACAGTACCCGCCAAAGCACATGGTCAGTTCAGGTAAGGGTTTTTGTTGGACGCAATCCAGGCCTAGCCAATCCGACAAGGTTTCAGGACAGCACATGGCTGTTTGGGGTGGATGAAAGACGTTCTTGTGCCACCGCATCAGCGGTAGATGCTGTGGTGGTCAATAGGGGCAGGCAGGAAAAATGTTCTCACACTCGTTCCTTTCACTGCACCACCACACCACGTTGGTTGAAGACCCTCCATGGCCCTGATCGGTAGCCCTAACTCCGAGTAATGCTAACTCCGATCGTTTGGCCCTTTTTGCTTACTCCGAGTAAGCCACGTAGGTGTGACTGTATCAGACACACGTGCGAAGGGGGAGTTAGTGAACCCCCACGAAACCCACCAACTCGGAGTAAGAGGGCTACCGATCAGGGCCCATATGTACTGGATCTTTGGAAGCAACCCATGGATGGTGTGGCTGTCGCTCGATGGGTGGGGTGGGGGTGGAAACAGGGTGTGGTGGCTGTGGTGTAGCCTGTGGTGGCTTGCGGCGGTAGGATTTCGAAAAGGAACAGAGGCACAATCGACTGTATTCCCACTTTCCCCACTTCTTGCTGACCAGATCCGAACCAAACCATACCCAACCAGCAGCTTTGGTTTGGAAGGGGGAAACTGAATCAGCGGAGCGCACACGTTCGGTCTGGCTGTCCTGCGCGGTTAGTCTTTCGAGCGTCGCCGCCAGTTTGTACAGTGTTCAGTTCATTACAGTACAGTTGAAAAACTTATCAGCAGCAGCGATGGAACTTATCGCAGCGAGTCTAACCATACACGAGGCGTGTGCTGCGTCCATGCCACGTGTCTGTGGTCCCTTTTCAGCTTCTCCAGGAGTCCTGCCCACCAGATAATGGACGGATTAAGGGCCCTGATCGGTAGCCCTCTTACTCCGAGTTGGTGGGTTTCGTGGGGGTTCACTAACTCCCCCTTCGCACGTGTGTCTGATACAGTCACACCTACGTGGCTTCCTCGGAGTAAGCAAAAAGGGCCGAACGATCGGAGTTAGCATTACTCGGAGTACGACTCCACCGAGCCCTCCGGTATGCTTCCGACACGGGCAAAGTTTACTCCGAGCTGTGCCTCCCACAACTCCACGTTTTTGGAGTACTCCTGGCTTACTCGGAGTTAGGCATCGATGGGTAAACCAAACTAGGATCCCGAATTGGTTTTTTTTTTACCGGGACTACCTCGAAGCACGCGGTAAAATCTTCCCGTCCCGGTGGTTGATGGTGCCATTTTGGAGCCACGGTATTCCCAGTGCCGAAATTTTTTTGTTTGGTGGCGTGTGGGGCAGTCTGGGCTGCACGCAACAGTGAGACACACGAAATCGCACCCCCCACCCCCGCAACTTCCCAACTCGGAGTGACGGGGGCGAACCGATCACCCGCCAGAATTGGGAAAGTTACAGCAGGAGATGGGAAAAACCCACCGGCACGTGCACGCTCGTGTACCCCCCCGAGCAGGCCAACGCGACCAAGGCTTACTCGGCCATCAAAATTAGGTGGCCGTTGCGAAACGCGATGGTGTTTGAAACGCTTGCAAGGCGGTTCAGAGCGTTGCAGTACGATGCTTAGGGCTACTTTCGCATCGGCCACCAAATTTTGATGGCCGAATTGTGATGCACGGGGATCTTACACGCCCTTAGGGCTACCGATCAGGGCCAAGGATTCATGGATGAGATCTTCCCCTCCTCCATCCCTACCCTCCCTTGCTTTCCTCCATTCCATTCCCTTATCTTCCCTTCCCATACCATCGTTCCCTCTCTCTCGCCCTCCCTCCCACGAAAACCTTTCTGTCTCCCTGCAGGAGTGTGAGCTGTAAACAAAACACTACCGAACATAGCATCCCTAGGGTTAGATCTACTGACGTTTGCGATGACACATTTACGGTCTGTGAGAAGACCACCGTCATCCATAGTTCTCGGCTGGAGTCTAGCGTTAGCTTTTGCGCTTATCATTACACTCCGTTCGAGCCGTTTTTGGTGAGGGAATTGTGTGTGTGTGTGTTTTGTACGCCAGACGACAACAGACCACCCGCGATTACATGAGCTTGTATTAAATAAGATACAGCATCTTATCCGACGAGGGGTCCCCGTCTTATCGGCAATGGAGACCATTTGCGATTTTTGCGAAAAAGGCCGGGCCACGGTCTATTGTAAAGCGGATTCCGCTAGGCTCTGTCTCTCGTGCGACCGAGTAGTTCATTCAGCAAATAATCTCTCCCTTCGCCACCATCGCACGCTGCTCTGCGACGGATGCAACGCGGAGCCAGCCTCTGTGCGATGCCGAGACGAAAACCTTTCTCTCTGCCCGGATTGTGACCTCGCGTCTCACAACGCAAATCCGTCCGGCGCGAACCACAGCCGTCACGTGTTCGAATGTTTCACGGGCTGCCCGTCCGCAGCGGACCTGGCGAAGCTATGGGGTTGCGACATGGCTCAACCGCCGCCGCTCCTTCAAGTGCAAAAAGCCCAACCCGCCTCCTCCACTTCCACCGCCGGAGGTGGCGTTTTAACTTCCGCTCACGGTTTTCTCGCCGCGCCGGATCCCGATACCTCTAGGCAGCTGGCGGAACCTCAAACACCTAGGCCGGCCGTAGTATTACCTCGTGTGTCGCCGAAACACGTCGCGTCAGGCGCTCCTTTATTACCCTTCTCGATCGATGCCACTTCCGCGGAGGCGATTCAGCGGTTACGAGCGAGTCAGGGGAATCCGTTAACGGACCCGAGTTCAAGAATATCCCCTACTCCGGGGGTTATTCCTAAATTCGGACTCCAGAGTGGTTCTCGAGATGGAGAATCTCCGAATTCAGAAATCGTTACCCCACCAATAGCTACCGCAGGAAGGGCAAGCGCAGGAAGTTGGGGAGCACCGGTAGCCGTTAACCAGACGGCGCCGTCAGCCGCCGTCAGCTTACCGGCCGACAGGCGCGCAGTGCCTCCGAGCTCGAATTTGGCCGTCAATTGCGGCGACGTGCAGGTGAGAAGACGATGCTGTTGACCGGTAAATCGCGACGCGGTAAAGTGATTAAGTGGTTAACGCTCGCATGTGCCATGTGTTGCTTTTGATACGTCTCGAAGCTAGAATTGCGGGTGTTGTGATGGGAACATTTTGTTGCTTTCGCTCCTTCTCAACCTTTTTTTCTAGAGTTTCCCCTTCCGTCCCGCCCTCATTTCCACCCTTGCCGTCTCCTCCCCTGCGCTCGTGATGCTCCAGGGAATGAAAGCAGCAACTCCTTGGAACAGTCAGCACCCGGCAGCATCTTCCATGGCTGCTGCATCTCCCATGATTGCTGCGTCTCCCATGCTCGCCGCACCTGGCGCATACCCCTTCCGGCCGCAATCGGCGGCGCCGCAGTCGCCGGAGCAGCTGCTCAGCCAAGGCTCAGGCCCGAGGCTAGGTCCGGGCTCAGGTCGGGGGTCAGGTCCGGGCCCAGGTCCGGGGTCAGGTCCGGGGTCAGGGCAGGGGTCAGGTCCGGGGACAGGTTCTGGTCGAGGCTCGGGTCCGGGTTCGTTGCGAGGTGCGCTGGGGGGTGTGAGTCATGGCGGCGTGAGAGCTGATATATTCGGCGGCCAGCTCGCTGCAGACTATATCGAGGATCATGGCTCTGTACCCGCTAGAATCTTCCAAGAAGAAGCAGCAGCAGCAGCAACAGCAACAGCAGCAGCAACAGCAGCAGCAGCAACAGCAGCAGCAGAAGCAGCAGCAGCAGATGCAGCTGCTGCAGCGGCAGCAGATGCAGGCTCTCGTGCAGCAGCAGCTGCTGCAGCGGCAGAAGCAACAGTCACAGCAGCAACAACAGCAGCAGCAACATCAAGTGATGCAGGAGCGTCAGCTAGCGGCGAAGCAGAGTCTAAAAGAGGGACAGCAGCTGTCTCTTGTGGAGCGGAGGCGGCAGATGCTTCAGCTCGAGCAGCATCAACGGCTGTTGCAGCAGCACCAGCAACAGCTACAGCAACAGCAGCATCAGCAGATGCAGCAGCAGCATCTGCTGCAAATGAAACGGGCAAACTCAACAGCAAGCAGGGAAACCATGGAGTGGCACGACGCCATGGCAGGACAGGGCATGCGATCAAGCCCTCTCAACGGGCTCCGTTCCAACACCCGTATCCCTCCCAGCTCCCCCACCGTCCCCACGTCCGCAATGACCGCTCCTATCCCCGCTCACCCTGCTTCCACTCCCGGCGCTCCTTCCAATTCTGCGGCCACTGCCCCCTCCCCTGCTCCGTCTGCCTCGGCTTTGGCAGCGCCGCTCAATTCTGCGCCCACCGCCCCTGCTGCATCGCTACCAGCAGGGTCGGTAGGCAGGCAATTTACGCGATCGTACTCTCTTCACACGGACGCTCAGTCGCCGGTGTTCCCAAGTGGGATAAGAACCCTCACCCGCGCCAACACCACCCACACCGGCGCTCCGTCGGCTGCTGCTCTCTCCGACCGCGACCTGAATTTTCACCTGAGCCAGCTGGCCAATCGGAGGATCGCGCAGGAGATTGCGCAGTCCAGGCGGACAGGGGGAGTCGGCGATGCAGGCGGAGTGAGCAGCGCAGGCGGGGTTGCGCGAGGGGGTGCAGGCTCCCCGATGGTTCTCGAGGAGTCGCATAAGGGCAGCAGAGGGGGCATGACCGCGGGGGGGATGACAGCAGGGGGGATGACCGCCGGGGGGGGAATGGGCAGGTTGGGGGGAATGAGAGTAGGGATGAAGCGGAGCTTCGGAGTAGACCCAGCGGATTTCCCCATGGCGGCGCCGAGCTTGGAGGCTGGCGGCACTGGCAGGAGTCCGAGCACGGCTGCTGGGGAGCTCTGCGATGGCAGCGGTAGTGGGTACGAGGTGGGGACGCCCTCTCGCGCTGCTGCGCGCGGAGTAGCTGGGGAGAAGTTTCCAGGAAAGCGGCATGCTGGGGGCCTGACGTGTGCCAGTCAGGAGTCACTCCGCGAGGCAGCAGCAGGGGTCCGCGTGGGCGGAGAGGGTCCTGGTGGGGAGGTAGGCAGCGCGGGGCGTACAGGAGTACTGGCCTGTTCTGAGAATAATTATGATCAGAAAGCGCATGCGGTAGGAGGAGGTGGTGTGCGGTCGACAGGCGAGATGGCGCAGACAGGGGAGTGCGTAGGCGGCGGGACAGCAGGGGCCGCGTGGGGTCGGCAGCAGCAGGAGACGAAGGAAGAGTTGAAGCAGGAGGTGCTGCAGGAGCTGCACGCGCAGAGGATACAGCAGCTGACGCGGGAGCAGATGATGCAGCAGATGCAGCAGGTGCAGCAGCTGAGTCAGCAGCAGCAGATGCCGCAGCCGCAGGCACAGTGTGGGGCGCAGGGGGAGCGAACAGCAGGGGAGCGAGCACAGGAGATGCAGGTGCCTGCGCCTGTGGCTGGCGGATACGCCCTTGGGAACTCTGCAGTATCAGGGAGCCCGAAGGCCTCTGGCAGTTCCGCAGAGGCTCAGAAGACCACCCGCAGCCCTGCAGGAAATTCTGCAGGAAGCCAGGATGGTCCGGGAATGGGAGCATGCGAGGTGGCGGCAGGTGCGCCAAGGCAGCAGCCAACGGGTAGAGGAGAGGAGGATGCGGCGGAAATGTCAGCTGCTGGCTCTTCCGCAGCAGCAGGGAGAGGAGCAGCAGGAGCAGCAGAAGCAGAAGCAGCAGCAGTGGAAGTGGAAGCAGTGGGTTCCGGTCCGTATGACGTGGCAGTAGCATCAAGCACACTGGTGGATGCTGATGATGATCCATTGGACCAATCCGTGCATGGCAACTGCATGCTTCAAGCCCATGTCATGGCTGACGGCCATGGGATGGGTGTAGGCCATGCGCATGGCATGGACGATTCACACAGTCAAGATATGGCGACACTGATGGATGCAGAGATGGGCATGGGAATGAACATGGGCATGGGAATGGCGTTTCACATTGAGGACATGGATATCCCCATGCCTCTTCCTGGCTGTGATGACATGTTTTCTCTCCCTGATTCCGACTTTGGAGGAGTCTTCTGTGCTGCATCTGGTGCCGGAGCTTACGCTGCTGGGGCATATGCTGCTGCTGCTGGGGCTGCGGCTGCGGCTGGGGCTGGGGCTGGGGCTGGGGTTGGGGTTGGGGGTGGGGCTTTCGCTGCTGCGGGTGCGTATGCGGGGTCCACGGGTTGTGGCAGTGCGGCAGCTGACACCTGAGAAGCAAGGCCTGTTTTGTTACCCACTTTCCCTTCCATTTGCATCTCCACATTTTTCCGCACCACTCCTTTCCTCCACCGTCATCCCCTTTCTCTCCCTCTTCCCTCTCTCCTCCTCTCTCTAACTGAACACTTTGTGCAATATTTCTTTCCCCCCGTCCTCTACATCCATTCTTGATTCCCCATTGTTGCTGCACTTTTGCCTTCTGCACGTGCAAGTTTTTCTTCTCTCAGAAGTGGAGACATAGCCTGGGTTTTTCTGGTTCCACTGGTCTTGCTGCTTGCGCCATGAACACAGCACAAGCATTGCATCAGTGCGTAGCAGTGCATTTTTCCCGTGTGACTGCTTCAGTCATTCACACATTGGCTAATTCTGTTGCATGTGACAACTGTTTTGGATTTTTGTGTTGGGCCGCAACTTCACACACCAGTAGCTGCGGGTATTAAAACATTTCTTTTATGTGCATGCTGGCTAATTTTTTTCACTTTTTTGGTTAGCCAATGTTATTGGATAAATTGTGATTCGAGCTTGTAATCATGCATGGCTCTCAATGTGTTAGGTTATTCTCAGTTGTACAGAAGCTCTCTACACTATTTAGTTCTCGTGGGCTCTCTCAATCCAATATCGCGTCAGCGAACTGCCACAGCAAAGTGCTGACGCACCAGCGAACGGTCGTCGAGAGAGTTGACAAGCCCGAAACTGAAACGCGAGTACGGAATGGGCACCGCGGTTCTTGGTCGTCAAACCCAGTTGAATGAACCTACCAAGCCCAGCAAGTCCACCCCGCGCAAGGAGTGGATGCATGAAGCAACCAGACGGTGAGTGAAAGGTACAGTGCGGTTTCTAGCGTTCCCAAAGCGGTAAACACCACACTCCTTTCCACGTCCCTTTTGACCACACTCGTTTTGATTCGGGTTTCCTTTCCTTCCCCCTTCCACCTTGGGCTTGCCGAACGAGACTTGTAACAGTCGCAAACAACGATTCGCGACGAGTCAGCAGACGGAAGCGACCCTGGAGGGGGAACGCGCTCTTTCGCACAACCCTTGTGAAAGTCGTCGTGTGGTTGGTAGAGTGGCTGTCGTCCCAATTGTTCGCTGGGTCGCTCACTTGTCGCTCAATTGCTCGCCCTCTCGCTCGCCTGCTCCCTTCACGTGCTTATCTTCACTTCCCTGACCTTCCCCCCTCTCATGCCGTGTGCCCCACGGTCTGCGTAGCACACTTCTGACCCATAAAAGATTCACACCTGCTCACCAGAACTCACCATTTGATTCGAATCTCCTTGCAACCATTTCAACTGCTAAGAGCTTAGCCGATATTACCTGAGGATTTTCTTGTATTGCCGTCCTCTGGTTCTCTCGCCTTGTTAGATTGGAATATTAGATCAGCCGAGATGGATTACGAAGTGCCGCTGTTAGGCGCACACCACACGAGCGGTGATGACGAGCACGAGCAGCAACAGCAGCAAGAACTGCAGGCTCGCCAGCAGAGCTCATCACCGTCCGATCGAGATTCTTCACAAGCATCAGTGGCGTACAGTCGTCCCGGAGATTCCTCCTCCGCCACCGCATTTGGCGGAGATTGGCGCGGAAAGCTCGCGGCTGTCGGGCAGCGCGTGCGCGCGTCGAGCGCGGAGCTGGGGAAGCGCGTCACGGAGGCGGCGACAGCTGTCGGAAGCCGATTGGAGGAACAGGTTTCCGTTGTCGGCGAGCGCGTTAAAGAACTAGTTCTGCCGACCACGCAGGCGGATATATTAGTAGACCGCGCCACGGCGGAGGAGTTGCTCGCTCCCCATTGGTCCACCGTCCTGCAAATCTCCCACCTCCTTCAGAACGGCCATGTTCCCGGCGGCGACGTCGCACGGGCCCTGCGACGTCGCCTAGCGACGCGCGATTCGCACGTGCAGCTGCTCGCGCTGGCGGTCGCGGAGTCGATAGTCGGAAGCGCACCGCAGGTTCTGGGGGACATTGCGCGCGAAGGCGTGTTAGGAGACATGGCGCGAATGGCGGTGGAGCCTAAGACGCAGGCGCGCGTCAGAGAGACGGTTCTAAGACTGATCGAAGCGTGGGCTGCGCCGATGGAGGCGACGCGGTACTTCCCCGCGTTCGAAGAGACGTTTAGGGTGAGTGGCGTGTGGTGTGGGGGTGCGGATCAGTGGCGGGTGGGGTGTGGTGGGGATGGGGGATGGGGGATGAGGGCTGCGCCGATGGAGGCAGCGCGATACTTCCCCTCGTTCGAAGAGACGCTTAGGGTGAGTGGCGGGTGGTGTGGGGGATGATGGGAAGACGGGGGGGGTGGAGAGGAGGGGTGGTGGGGGGAGAGAGGGGAAGGGGGTGTAACGGCAACATTCACATCGAAAAGGTATTTAGGTGAGCGCGGGATGGGAGAATTAAAGAAGGGCTGGAAAAGAAAGGGGACGAGGGGTGGGACTGGAAAATAAAGGGCTGGTTTGTACACCTCCGGGGTGACGTTCATGGTAAACGAAGTGTGGGGGAAATGTGGTGAAGACGAGACAAAAAAGCCGGATGTGGTGTCGGGGAAATGTGGCGACAGACGTAGAGAAAATGGGATTACAGACACCAATTTACTCAAGCGCCATGCAAACAATTCGAAAGACGTATAATTTATCAGTGGCATTTAGAAACTAGATGAATTTGGATAGAGACGTCATTTCACTCAAACACCATGCAAACAATGCCCGTATGTGCCTTTCCGTCATTTCACTTCTTGTTGTTCTCCTTGCAGCAATGCGATGCTCTTGCAGCCTTGATGTGCTGCTGCTAACTCCACTTCTCTGAGTTGACTCCCTAGCTTCGCACGGCCCTGCAGTTGCAGTTGCAGCCTTGTGCTGCTAACCCCACTGCTCTGAGTCGACTCTATACCTTAGCACGCCCCTGCAGTTGCTGCGTGATGCGCCATTAACCCCTTTTGGGGAAATGGGCTAGAGCATGGGATAGGATAGCAAAGAACGTGAAAGCCGTTGACTTGAGGATAAGGGGTCATGGGTTCAGTGGAACGGGCAGTACACCAGAGCTGACTTTTGAGGCGACTCAAAAGTCGGTTCAGTAGAGCGGTTAGTACACCCGAGCACTGAATTCCCTGAGGAAGGAAACGCCAGTATGTGGCCGGATGTTGCGCCGTCGTGCCTTTTGGGTTACCCTGATACGAGGCCGGTGCAAGCGTGTATGATATAAACCATTCCTTGGCAGTTCATTAGGTATTGAAGGTCTGTTTACTGGCTCCTTCCCTGTGTATATAGCTCTCTTTATTTACGATTTGTGACACGAGCTTTGAATGCCAATTCTGCTGTCGGCAATTGCTCCTGGGCTTATTCACGTGCACCTGATTCTCACCCCCCTCTGTGTAGCATGTCGACCATGCTGCCACCCATGCTGCCATGACCAGCCATGCTGCCATCCATGCTGCCATGACCAGCCATGCTGCACCTATGCTGCCATGACCAGCCATGCTGCCATGACCACCCATGCTGCCATGACCACCCATGCTGCCATGACCACCCATGCTGCCATGACCAGCCATGCTGCCATGACCACCCATGCTGCCATGACCAGCCATGCTGCCATGACCAGCCATGCTGCCATGACCACCCATGCTGCCATGACCACCCATGCTGCCATGACCACCCATGCTGCCATGACCAGCCATGCTGCCATGACCAGCCATGCTGCCATGACCACCCATGCTGCCATGACCACCCATGCTGCCATGACCACCCATGCTGCCATGACCACCCATGCTGCCATGACCACCCATGCTGCCATGACCACCCATGCTGCCATGACCACCCATGCTGCCATGACCACCCATGCTGCCATGACCACCCATGCTGCCATGACCATCCATGCTGCCATGACCACCCATGCTGCCATGACCAGCCATGCTGCCATGACCACCCATGCTGCCATGACCACCCATGCTGCCATGACCACCCATGCTGCCATGACCACCCATGCTGCCATGACCAGCCATGCTGCCATGACCAGCCATGCTGCCATGACCACCCATGTGATGCCATCCATGCATGGCATATCACTTTCCTCGCTCCTCCTTCCTTCTCAATCTCTCTTCATCCACCATTTCTTCTTCCCATTCCCTCTTCTCCCCGCCTTCGACACGTCTTGTCAACGAAACAGGGGTCCATTTGGCCTCGTCCTTTTCTCAAATCTCTTCTGTCGCCTCCCTCTCCCCACTCCTTGTTCATCATCAGGAACTTAAGGAGACGGGTGAATTTTCCTGTGGTCTCTTGGAGGTGTCTCGAAACAAATCTTCTATCACATGGCTTTTCATCAACATCACCAGGAACTGAATGAGAAAGGGGTGACTTTTCCTGTGGTCGCTAAACCCCCTCAGCCCATGTGTGTTCTGAGTCGACTCAAGTCACACCTTCTGCCCTCCCTGTTCTCATCACCATCACCAGGAGCTGAAGGAGAAAGGGGTGACTTTCCCTGTGGTCACCACACCCCCTCAGCGCACCCCCAGCTCCTATTGAGTCGACTCAAGACATTCGGCTCCTCCCTTCCGCCCCTTTGTTTTATTCTATCATCGTCATTAACAGGAGCTGAAGGAGAAAGGGGTGACCTTCCCTGTGGTCGCTACACCCCCGCAGCGCATCTCTCGGCTCCTCCCCTTCGAATCCGTTACCGGAGACGCTTCTAGAGGTGCAGGACGCATCTACATCACCAGACCTCCCTCCGAGCTGCCGAACCAGCGCCCGGAGGTCGTTGCCATGCCTGCGGACTTCCGTGCCGGACCTAACGCGCAGGGTCGGCGGACCACACCGCACGTGAGGTTTGTCATGCCTGGTGGTGGCGGTGGCACTGCTGGTGCTGCAGGTGCTGGTGCTGCAGGTACTGGTGCTGCAGCTGCTGGTGGGGGAAGAAATGACCACGCACACAGGCATCAGCATCATCATCATCACAATCACCATCAGCGGCAGTGGGAGGCGGCGGAGGAGGCAGCGTGGATGGGTGCGGGGGAGGGAGATTCGGATCCGAAGGCGTTTTTTGCAATGGCTAGAAACGCTGCGGACCTGCTCACTACCATGCTCACATCAGCGCCTGCAGCAGAATCTCTTAGGGTGAGTCGTGGTTTGAGGGGTCTTCAAGGGACATCGTTACGATGACTAGAAGCACTGCAGACCTGCTCATCTCCATGCTCAAATCAGCTCCGGCAACTGAGGTTCGTAGACTCAAAAGCCTCTTGACAAGCTAGAATGTGTGACGACGTAGAAGTCAGTGGGTGGGGACATGGGGCCATGTGGGAGCGTTGGAGTGAGGGAGTGGGCGGGGGAGTGCAAAGAGGACGTGCAACTGGGGGGAGAGTGCTAAGGGTGGTGCTGGGATGCTCAAAAAGGTCAGAAAAACTTCAGACTCCTCTGCTTCCCTATAGCTGTTACCTGCTTTTCCCATACTTTTACGTTCACATGCCTCCTTTTCTTCCTTTCCTCCACCCAAAATGGAGTGTTCTGATATCCCTGGCATCCCAGGGGCTGGACAATTGCAGAGATACCTTAATACCCTTCCAGTCAATGACGTGTTGTGGCAACCTCAGTAGCCTTGTTCCGGATGTCTTAGCAGCTCTTGCTGCAATTTCTGCTGCGGCAGGAGGAGGTGGTGGCGGGGCGGATAATGCACGCGTGATTGGAGCTGCACATGCATCTCTGCCTCTGATGACCAGACAACTGTTTCTAATGCCGGTTCTCTTTCCGTCTCCTTCCTCTCTCCCTCTCTTCTCTCCTCCCTCCCCTCCCCCTTCCCCTTTCTCTCTCCCCAACAGGACGAGGCTGTGGTGTCACTTGCCCCCCAGTGCCGGGCGGCAAAGCGCCGCTTGCAGCGGCTGCTGCAGCAGGAGGCCGTGCTGGCAGACGACTCGCTCTGTCTTATTATACAGCCTCTCTTATTAGACAGATTGTCATTGTGGCCCCTCATTCCCTCTCCTCCCTCTCTGCATCTCTCTCTTTCTCTCTCCTCCCTCTCTGCATCTCTCTCTTTCTCTCTCCTCTCTCTCTGCATCTCTCTCTTTCTCTCGCCGTCCTCTCTGCCTCCGCCCCTCTCTTCCCAACAGGACGAAGCTGTGGTGTCGCTTGCCGCCCAGTGCCGGGCGGCAAAGCGCGGCTTGCAGCGCATGCTGCAACAGGAGGCCGTGCTGGCAGATGATTCGCTGCTGTTTGACGGGTTGGCTGCTGTTGATGACGTGGATGCCGCCCTTGCCAGGCTGGCAGCCATGCGGGATGAGGTGAAGGGGGCGCAGGGGAAGAAGCAGCACAGACGGGGGAAGATGAGGGGGAAGGGGAGGGGGGGGAGTGGGGCGGAGGGCGCAGGGGAGAGTGGGGATGGGACAGGGGGGGTTGCGGAATGGGTGATGGGGTGTGGAGGAGAGGGGGTTGGTGGTGGGAGTGGAGGGGTGGGGACAGGAGGGACCATAGAGGAGGGTGAGGATGAAGGGTATGAGAGTGAGGAGGAAGAGGAGGAGGAAGGGGAGGCGTTGGAGAGAGGGAGGGGCCGTCGGTCCCTGGAAGGGGATGGAGAGGAGGGTAGGGCAAGTGGTGGGGATGAAGAGAGCAGGGAAGCAAAGGAGGGGGAGGGAAGCATGGTAAAGGGTGGAGAAGGGAAGGATGGGGATACTAGTTCCGCTGGAAGAGTGGGGGGTGAGTTGGAGGGTGGGGGTGGGATTGGAAGTGGAACTGGTACAGTGGCAGTGGAAGGCAGTGGTGATTCTGCTGCTTCTCCTGGTGGTGATGGCGGAGGGAGAAGAGCGAGTGAGGTGTATTTCTGAAACAAGAAGAGATGCGTTTCTGTTCTGTTCGTGAAAAGAAAGTCGTGATGTGCTGAAAGAGCGTACAGTGTGTGTGAGGTGGTTCCTTTCATCTGAACATGTCCAATATCTTTGTGCAATACATTCAGTCCGATTCATAATAAATTTCTTCGATGGAGTCCCAACCCAGGAACACAATATGCCCAACACAGACTTGTTCCACATCGTGGATACGACTTTCTTGACCCTGATGAACACGTCGAGGGTCTTGGACCACGACCAAACCCTCATCCCCCCAGAGCCGACGTGTCTGAAGGCAGCAAAACATTGGTTGCCACGTGGAGAAGAGATGTTTCGATTACCAACAAACGCACGCAACCAACTATTCCCAAACCTACGGGTGATTCGTATGACCCGCCATAACCCTGCGTGCCGAAGCACAAGAAGTTGGTTCGGCTGTCAGAAACGGCTCCTTTCCCCCTCTTTCCTTACGTCTCATTTTTCCCGTCTTCCCGCCACCTTCCACCCCTCCCACCTTCCACGCGACTCATCGCCCGCAACCTTCCAAGAGCGGGCATCGTCCTGGTGTCCGCCACCCTGCTTGCGCCACCCTGCTTGCCTATTTATTCACTGAATATTTATTCACGGGGCCAACAACTTAGGTCTAAACGTTTTGAAACTCCGCCTTCCGAAACAGCCAACACGTTTTCGCGTTCTCGAGTTTTTTTAATCAACTGTTATACTGCCGCCGCGTTTGGAGGAGCGGGTACTTTCCGCAATTAGCTAGTACTTGAGCTGTGTTTATCCGCTGGTGGTTGAGCGGTGTTACTTAATACCTGTTACAATCTGAAGTGGGACTTAACGAAACAAGGATCGTTCAGGGTTGATCGCAGGTAGTGTTGCAGCGGAAGTAGTGAACTCAGGTCAGAGTGAATGTAAAATGACTGAGATGATAATAGCATGCATACATTGGGTTTATATAGAAATACAAAGGAATACGAAACGACCTAGACTAGCCATGTACTCTAAGGGGTACATTCCCTTATTGCAGCGAAATTCAAACCGTGCGGCGCGGGAGTCAGTTTCAAACCTGTTCCCGCTCTTTTCATTTCAAATGTCTCTGCCTGCATCGGTCTCGATCAGGCGGTTGCTGTGTCGCTTCGATTCTTCTGACTCCTCGTCTTCGTACTCGGTAGAGTCGGCTCCTGCAGCGTACAGGAATGCCTTCTCATTGAACTTCGTATCGTAACACTCCCCTTCATTCCTGGACGCGAAGGGTGCTGACTCGCTTGACCACTCCAGTGAGATCAGAGCAGTGTTTGAACTGCTGACGTGGCAGCCGCTTGGTAAGGAAGTCGGCTGCCATTTCAGTGGTCGGGCAGTATGCGAGGTCAACTTTGCCCTGGTCGATTTCGTCTTTGACGAAGAAGTACCGCAGTGCGATGTGCTTTGTGCGGTTCACGAACCCAGGCTTGTTCGCGATCTTGATCGCGCTCTGGTTGTCGCAGTGCAGGCGAAAGGTGGGCGAAGTTGGGATTTTCGCTTCCTGTAGCAGCTCCTGCAGGTACAGACCTTCGCGAACTGCTGCTGTCGCGGCGATGTATTCAGCTTCGGCCGATGACAGAGCAACCAGTTCCTGCTTCTGCGAATTCCAGGAGATGGGGCCAGTTGGCTCCAAGCGGAAGACAAAGCCGGTTCGGGACCGTCGATTCGCTGGGTCAGCGGCATGATCAGCATCCACGTAGCCGTTGAGGTTGAAGGATGTCGTTGACAGCGTGGAGTAGGAGAGCCCGATGTCAGGTGTGGAAATGAAGTACTGCAGGGCGCGCTCCAAGTCCAGCTGGTTCTCGGCTATTGGCTTGCGTGAGTACTGTGCCAGTTGGCTGGCGATGTACGAGAGGCAAGCAGATGCGAACAGCAGGCAGCCCAGTTGCTGCTGGTACAGTTGGAGTCCGGCAGGGGACAGAGGCTTGTTGTCCGGTTTGTAGTTGGTGCCGGGGTTGCGGTAGGGGGTTGAGAGTGGTGCGCGTGGGATGTTGAAGCGCTCCCCCAGCTGCTCTGCGTATTTTGAAGCTGACAGATGAATTGCTTCTGGCGCGTGGGTGATGTTCAGACCCAAAAACTGAGTGACTTTGTGGTTGATGGTGATGTCCACGCGCTTTGCCAGATTTTCTTCGAACTGATTAAGGAGCAGGTTGCAGGTGCCAGTGTACAGCAGGTCGTCGACATAGACGGTGAGGAGGATGTAGTCGCCGTTGAAGTGAAGGCGGTACATTCCCGGGTCGTGCGGCAGCTGTCTGAAACCGATCTCGAGCAGGATCTTGTGCAGATGCTGCTGCCAGAGACGAGGCGCTTGCTTGATCCCATAGAGGGACTTCTTCAGTTGACAGACCCTGGGATCACCTTCTCCGTAGGTGTGTGGCTGCTCCACAAAGATGGTGGCGTCCACCAACGCGTATAAAAACGCGTTCTTCACGTCGATCTGTCGCAGTGGCAGATGCTTAGCGGCGGCAATGGCGAGTAGAATTCGGACTGAGGTGTGACGACTAACGGGAGCAAAGGTTTGATTGAAGTCAATGCCGTGGCATTGGTCGTATCCTCGCACGACCCACCGGGCCTTCAAACGCTCGATAGTGCCGTCAGCGTTAGTTTTCAGACGAAAAACCCACTTGCTGCTCAGTACTCTTCTCCCCTTCACTGCTGCACGATCGACCAGAACCCAGGTGTTACGAGATTCCAGCGCCTTTAGCTCCGCATCCATCGCAGCACGCCACTCCTTGGCGTGGGGGCCGGTTAGGGCCTGGCGAGGGTTCTTTGGTTCTGCAGCCCGGGCAAGGGTAGAGACGGATGCGTGCAGGCCGAGAAGCTGGAGGCCTGACACGGTGGTGGTGCCTGTGGTGGTGGGAACTTCCACCACATCGTCGTCTCCGCTTTCGTAGCCGGGTGTTGCGGCGTGTGGCTCTGCTTGGCGCCGTGATGGTCCTGGCGCGGGGTCGTCGTCACTGTCATCGTCGTCGTCGTCGCGCGGGCGAGGCGGGACGCTGGGATGTTCGTCGGTATCGTCGCGGTCCAGAACTGCTGCTGCTGCTTCATCTTCCGGAGTCGCAAAGCTGCGACCGCTGTTGACATAGCCGCGTGCCTGGTTTCGGCGTTCGTCCTCGATCCACTGCTTCAGGGTAAGTCGTTCGTAGAAGAGAATGTCGCGCGCGGGAACGATCTCGTTACTGTCAATGTCAAAGATAAGCCAACCTTTGTGCTCGTGACTGAGCCCCAGATGAATTCCTTAGCGCGCACAATGAACGAACTTGCCAATTGTGGCCGGAGTCGGCCGATATTGCACCATACACCCCCAAACCCGCAGCATGGAGGGGTCTCCCCTTGAGCCGGTCCACTTCATGTGAGGGGATAGGTTGTCCCTGTTGGCGGTGGTGGAGAGGAGGTTGTGCAGGCGCACCGCGTGGTTCATGGCGTAAGGCCAAAACTTCTTGGGCAGGCCAGACTGGTTCATGATGGCGCGGACTTTGGTCATGAGGGTGCGATTGACCCTCTCAGCGACGCCTTGCTGCTGATGAGCGTAGGGGAGAGAAATTTCATGCTTGATCCCCTTCTCAGTGAGGACACTCTCCAGCTCGTGGCTGCGAAATTCCTTTGCCTCATCACTCTGCCAAATCTTCAGTTTCCTCCCTGACTGTCGTTGCGCGTGCGCGAGGAAGATGCGGAACACGTCCGGAGCTTTTGAGCGAGCATCGACGTTGGCGATCCACACATAGCGCGAGTAGGCGTCGATGAATGTCAACGTGTATTTTTCGTCGTTGAGTCTGTCGCAGGTGAGTACGATGAAGTCACTGTACACCTTCTCCAACTTTTTGTAGCGGTTAGTGCTCAGCTCTAGAGAGGGGTAGGCGGTGTGGGAGAGTGCAGCTGTGGGACAGACAGTGCAAGTGGTCGGGTGTGGCGTGGTACTCTGTAGTTCTGTTCCGTCAGGACACAGCAATGCTCGAGGCGGAAAAACTTTCGCGCGGAGGCAGTTAGCGAGTGTCTGGCGTGAGGGGTGGTCCATCCGCTGATGCCAGAGGTCATTTTCGGCACGTATGCCGGAGGTGCGCTTGTAATGGGCGTGCTGTTCCGCTTCTTCTGCTTCCGTAAGTTGCGGAATCTGTAGTGGTGTTTCTTCTTCTTCTCCTGGTTCTGCTTCGGGCCCCTCTTCTTCTGCCTCTGTCGTTGTCTCCCCTTCTGCAGGTGCCGTTGTGAGATAAAGGGAGAGGAATTCGCGGTCGGGGATGGTATTTAGCGGCGTCCTCGTGCCTTCGATGAGGCGCGCAAATGGATCTGGACGAGAGATTGGACCGAGAGAGTCTCGTGCTGGTGTTGGAGGTATGTTCCCCTCCTCAAGCTCTGTCCAGGTGCTTTCCCATCGGTGGGGTGAACGTGGAGGCGAGTGTGCGGGTGGCGGTCGCCTAAGGGGTATGGTGACGCGGGGAGATTCTTCTCCGCGCTCAGCTCGCATCTCTCGTTCTGCTTTCTCCAGTTCTTCCTGTGTTAGTTCTGCCTCTTCTGGTTCTGCCATGCCCCATCCGCCTGTGGTAACCATGCCGCTGGCTCCAGTACCCCAGGCGCCAGTAGCGGATCCCCAAGTGGCGCCTTCCTCCGGTTCGTAATCTTCATCTCCCCATGCCCCTCGTCGTGCGGTTTCCTCGCTCCATCCTGCCGCAACGCGTTCCTCGTACAGCTTCTGTTTCTTTTCTGCCCTGGCCTTCTCCCGTTCTTCCTTGATGCTTAGTTCTCCTTCTGCGTCAGGATCTTTCCAGGCCGGGTCAATTTCGTGGCGAAAAACTTCGCGAGTGTACGGGCGCGGTCGATTTTCTTCATCGAAGGTGCCGGTGTTAGCTTCGAGCATGAAGCGGGGGGTGTCGGAGCGCGGCGTTGGGCGTGGCACCGGTTGTTGACCGAACTGCTTGTTTTCTTCTCCGAAGATGCGGTAAGTTGCTACAGCGAGTTCTTCTTCGGTCATGCCAGTTGGT